TGGATCGGCGCCGATACCGATCCGAATATCGGTATTGGTGCATCTCTAGTAAACAATACAAAATATCAGATCAATATGTTCAGATTTAACTGCTAAATCATGTCCAGTTTTTTTTCAAAGGTTTTAGGCATAAAATATAACGCAAGCATTGAAAAAAATGTCTAGTGCAAGTCATATAGAAAGATGCATTACAACCGATTGAAACTGAAAAGGAAAATAATGTAGACGTACCGACTTCATGTCAAAATTGAGAACGTTGTACTACAAATGTTTTAGAGTAGGTGAATAAAACAGCAGTAAGTAAGTAATCTTTGCCATCTGTCAACTTCATACATTGCTGTTGAACTGTTTTCCAGGAAAATATTACTCTTCGGCAAACCAGTAAAAGGAGATACAGGTGCGTGACCTGCCTAATGTCTCCCCGCCCACAATCGTCGGTGAACCAATTAAACGACACGTAGGCGGAGCGACACATGTCGCCCCGCCCCAATATGTCGCCCCGCCCCATCGTCCACACTGCACTCAGGTCTATTTGGACGATGGTGGCTCTCGCGCGATTCCACTACCACTTCCATATCCCACAATTCCTAGCGCACAAGAAACAGTATTATTAGTCATGGATGTAATCGCACACGGTCTTTCATGTGAAGTAATAAATGTCTAATTTCCATGAACTTTTGTGCTCAGACAACAAAACAGCATGTTCGTGGAGGCAGCCATATTTGTTCCGAGATGTGTAGCTTGATCGGGAAATTTGTGGGATCTCGCACTTCGGAATTCGTCGGGATAAACGAACGCACAAACATGCGATCCGGGTGCGCGGTTCAGAACCGGCTGCATGATTTAGGCTGTAGAGGGAGCTAACCGGCGGATTCACTCATGGCTGTGTGCGATCCGGGTGAGCGGTTCCGAACCGTCTGCATGATTCCGGCTGTAGAGGGAGCTAATTCACTCATGGCTGTGTGTGATACGGGTGCGTATTTAGTTTTAGCAGCTATACTTGCTACTATAGCTGTATTGATCTTGTAATGAGTTTGAAATGATTATAAGAGGTATGTACGTGATAGGGTTTATAGTTTAGTAATGGGGTTGTAACGCCCCTTTGTGCATTAAAAGTAACACGGGAGCTACCCTGAATTATTTTCCCTCAGTACTTATATAATATTTAGGGTTCCCTATCAATTCTCTTTAAAGTCCAGAAGACAAATGCATACATCACTTTACACGAAAAGAACATAATCAACACAGTAATATAATCAGATGTAAATGAAACTATTTACTCATTTCTACCAGTTTGTACAAGACATTTCACCCGGGAGCAAATAACAGTTTCATCCATCCCTTTAACCCGAAACGGAAAAGTCCCAAAAAACCGTAAAGGTTCCAAAAAATAAAATAAACGATGGCCGGCAGATTTAAGTAAAGGAAATCAACGCTTCTATACGGTGCAGGCCTGTTCTGAAGCTCGGGCACGTTGTAGCCAAAAAAATGAAAAAAGGCTGCTTCACGCTTGTGAGCTACAAGCGCAATGTAAAATAAACCTTCACCACACTCACAATATCCCTGGGTGTCGTCCAGTGCAGAGTGGATCCAGCGGTCAGGTGCACCCTTCTGCGCTCGGTCTCTCCGCTGAGCGTTCGATCCGGGAGCTTTCGGTGAATAGGTGGGCTGCTACCCACGGGCAGGCAAGTGTCACTCTCTGAGGCTAGTTTCTAGCTTTTCGAACTTCGCGTGGAAATTCACTTTTAACCAGACTACTTACTATGAGCTTATTACATCGCCTGGTCGACGACTTTTAATATTTTCTTGAAATGCGTGAGCTACACATTTCAGCCAAAGCTTTCCGCCATTACACCTTCTTTCCCGCTGCTCTCTTCCCGCACCTCGCTCAACCTTGACCCTCAGCGCTAATTGGACCACACCTCACCAAAATGTACAAATGAATAAATTATAACATGCCCGCTTTACAATAATACAAGTAAATATATCAACACAGCACATATACAAACATAAAAATTTCTTTTTTTTTCTTTACCTCTTCTACATTTAATACATGAACTTATACTACGGGACCGTTGAATGCTTGAATCTGATTGGCTGATGAATGTTCTGAGGTGTGCAATTATTTTCAGGGAAACGCACGGCGAACGTAGTTCCAGGCAGCTCTCTTGACCGCATTACAGTTCCATATCACTTCGCATAGTTAACTGTAATAACAGAAATTAGCATA